TTTGTATTTAAACAGCTGCTGTAGCTTTTAAATTTTACTTATTATCAAAAAATAATATTAACATTTTTGTTAAGCGATAAACAACAAATCCATTAAGCCGTATAGCAAAATTTATTTAGACTTTTCATTGATGAGCTACATCCGTTTAAGTAAAAATTTGCTCAACTAGTCCCGCCCTACCCTACCTGAGCATCTCATTTCTAAGAGAATTATTTTTTATTATTCAAAAACCTTTTGTTATGAAACTGTCAGTTTTGATCGTCACCACAACGTATTGCTTCGGTGCGTAAACAAACATAGAAATTGCATGATCATGTAAATGTGACATTAATGAAACAATAATGTATCGTGTATCATTTAGCATCCGTCTCGTCGGATCGTTGCATTGATCTTTGTCAGGTAACAATGAAATCGTGCCGCCGTATGAATTATTTACATAACGAACGTCCCGGCCTGGACGATTCGCGTTGAAATATTCAACACACACTATACTCGTACGGCCTGAAACGTACCATCGCATTGCGCGAAAATTCACTCGTAACTTAGTTTGTGTTCAAATTAATATATGATTCATTATGGAACTGTTTCGTGCAACACATCGTAACATCGTAAAAGTGAATGCATACTTAATTAAATTTATTATTAGTCTAATTTAAGTTTAATTATATAAATCTAATTAATTTATAATATGGAACATTTCAACGGCATGCGATCCAGAAAATGAACTAGTTGTGCGTGGCATCGTGCCTTAAGGCAAGTTGCTGGTACTTCCGGTATCGATAATAGAAATTTTTAAAAAAGCTTTAAAATTTTTAAAATTTTTGAACAAATGAGATTTTTGAGAATTATGAAATTATTGAAAAATTTTACTTTAAAAAAGTTTGATTTTTTATATTTTAAATTTTTTTGAAATTTTTTTTTTCAAAGAAATCATGCTTAAGAATTTTAAGAAAAGAAAAGAAGCTTTTAGGGAAGAAATATCGAAACGAAATATGGAATCCATAGAAATGTAAACAAAATTCATAGTTATTATTAAAATATCTATATAGTATTTAATAATTTGATGTGCATATGTCTAATGATCTATTTTGACCACAAAATGGCTTTTTTACTTTTTGTAATAGATCTCGAAAACCGTTAGACCTGCTTTTCAAAAAATTTAATCAGTTCTTTATTTTGTCAATGCAAGTAAAATGTTTTTTGAATTATTGATATCGAACACTTCGTTCTCTCAAAAACTGATTTATTATTTTTGGCACTTGTGCCCCGTATCTTCCAAACGACTGGACCTACCTTTGTTAAAAACTAATCAGCACGTTTCCTTAGCAAGAGTAATTGAATCGTTTTTTGAATCATTCAAATCGGTTGAACCGTCTTCCGGAAATCGTCGACATACATTCATTTTTTCTAAGTTTGGTTTGGAGCTTTTGTATTCTGTTTGATACTTGAACATAGTTTTTAGGTATTCTTTATTTAACTGTTTTAGAAGATGTATTGTTATTTTTAAGTTAGATTTAACAGTATTTTTATATAACCTTTATAAAGCTTATAGGTGTGTAAAAAGGACTAACTAAGGCTTTACATTGGCAAAGGTTTAAACAGCAAGGAATAGTAAATATGAAAGTAAACTAAGTAAAAAGCAATTTTACAAAAAATAAATTAAAAAATTAATAGCTATTTAATGAATATATCTTTGAAATACCAGATCAAGATTATATACAATGAAATCTTTGTGAAAAATGTTTCTATAAAATTTGTATTTCACATTAGTCAAATAATGTAGCTATTATTTTGTAAATTTCCTTCAAATTAAAAAAAATATGATGGATATATTTGCCTCCTGGCTGTCTCTTCTTACCCTATTTAGTTAACTGGGAGTTTTACAGAACATTGTTCGATAGCTGATTTTTTTATACATTTTTACAGGGTGGTGCACAGTTGTGACACTCGCCCTTTTTTTTGATGATGATAGTATACTTGCTGCTGTAGAGCAGCGCAGGGTCTTTCAGACTCCGGAGTGTACTCGTAGCCCGGATAGCTCAGTCGGTAGAGCATTGGACTTTTAATCCAAGGGTCCAGGGTTCAAGTCCCTGTTCGGGCGTTTGTTTTGCAAATGCATTGTATTCAACTTGCTGCTGTAGAGCAGCGTAGGGTCTTTTAGACTCCGGAGTGTACTCGTAGCCCGGATAGCTCAGTCGGTAGAGCATTGGACTTTTAATCCAAGGGTCCAGGGTTCAAGTCCCTGTTCGGGCGTTTGTTTTGCAAATGTATTGCTGTAGAGCAGCGCAAGATCTTTTAGACTCCGGAGTTTTCTCGGAGCCCGGATAGCTCAGTCGGTAGAGCATTGGACTTTTAATCCAAGGGTCCGGGGTTCAAGTCCCTGTTCGGGCGTTTGTTTTGCAAATGCATTGTATTCAACTTGCTGCTGTAGAGCAGCGCAGGGTCTTTTAGACTCCGGAGTGTACTCGTAGCCCGGATAGCTCAGTCGGTAGAGCATTGGACTTTTAATCCAAGGGTCCAGGGTTCAAGTCCCTGTTCGGGTGTTTGTTTTGCAAATGCATTGTATTCAACTTGCTGCTGTAGAGCAGCGCAGGGTCTTTCAGACTCCGGAGTGTACTCGTAGCCCGGATAGCTCAGTCGGTAGAGCATTGGACTTTTAATCCAAGGGTCCAGGGTTCAAGTCCCTCTTCGGGCGTTTGTCTTGCAAATGCATTGTATTCAACTTGCTGCTGTAGAGCAGCGCAGGGTCTTTTAGACTCCGGAGTGTACTCGTAGCCCGGATAGCTCAGTCGGTAGAGCATTGGACTTTTAATCCAAGGGTCCAGGGTTCAAGTCCCTGTTCGGGCGTTTGTTTTGCAAATGCATTGTATTCAACTTGCTGCTGTAGAGCAGCGCAGGGTCTTTCAGACTCCGGAGTGTACTGGTAGCTCGGATAGCTCAGTCGGTAGAGCATTGGACTTTTAATCCAAGGGTTCAGGGTTCAAGTCCCTGTTCGGGCGTTTGTTTTGCAAATGTATTGCTGTAGAGCAGCGCAAGATCTTTTAGACTCCGGAGTTTTCTCGGAGCCCGGATAGCTCAGTCGGTAGAGCATTGGACTTTTAATCCAAGGGTCCAGGGTTCAAGTCCCTGTTCGGGCGTTTGTTTTGCAAATGTATTGTATTCAACTTGCTGCTGTAGAGCAGCGCAAGATCTTTTAGACTCCGGAGTTTTCTCGTAGCCCGGATAGCTCAGTCGGTAGAGCATTGGACTTTTAATCCAAGGGTCCAAGGTTCAAGTCCCTGTTCGGGCGTTTGTTTTGCAAATGTATTGTATTCAACTTGCTGCTGTAGAGCAGCGCAAGATCTTTTAGACTCCGGAGTTTTCTCGTAGCCCGGATAGCTCAGTCGGTAGAGCATTGGACTTTTAATCCAAGGGTCCAGGGTTCAAGTCCCTGTTCGGGCGTTTGTTTTGCAAATGTATTGTATTCAACTTGCTGCTGTAGAGCAGCGCAAGATCTTTTAGACTCCGGAGTTTTCTCGTAGCCTGGGTAGCTCAGTCGGTAGAGCATTGGACTTTTAATCCAAGGGTCCAGGGTTCAAGTCCCTGTTCGGGCGTTTGTTTTGCAAATTTATTTATTCAACTTGCTGCTGTGAGCAGCGCAGGATCTTTTAGACTCCGGGGTGTCCTCGTAGCCCGGATAGCTCAGTCGGTAGAGCATTGGACTTTTAATCCAAGGGTCCGGGGTTCAAGTCCATGTTCGGGCGTTTGTTTTGCAAATGTATTGTATTCAACTTGCTGCTGTAGAGCAGCGCAAGATCTTTTAGACTCCGGAGTTTTTTCGTAGCCCGGATAGCTCAGTCGGTAGAGCATTGGACTTTTAATCCAAAGGTCCAGGGTTTTCAAGTCCCTGTTCGGGTGTTTGTTTTGCTAATATATTGTATAATAATAATATAATAGATATTATTCAACTTTATTTTCCAGTAAAAAATTAAATTCATAATTTCAGTGCCTCGAAATTCACTTTCGAACTATAGTTTTTTCGGCGAAGTTTTTAAAGTGATCTTGACTTTTTTTGTTTTGACCTACACGCTTTTCTTAACTTACGCATTTACTTATTTACTTATCTACATAACTACTGCATACTCAAAATCTAAACGACGACATAACTATGAAACTACACATTTACAACTTAAATTTATAAATTTACATCTACCCAAGTTTACGATAGCACGTGCACACGTCCATACAACTGCACTTTTTTTAAATTTTTTATTGGTTTCGCTTACATGGAGCATTCAGTCACCTACAACATTTCATTTTTTATTCTATATTTTTTTTTAAATTTATACAATATTATCAATTCACAAATTCTAATTCATTTTAACTCAGTATTTCAAATTCTGACTCAAGGCATTATTTACTTCTTACTACTGCATACTCAAAATCTAAACGACGACATAACTATGAAACGACACATTTACAATTAATTTATAAATTTACATCTACCCAAGTTTACGATAGACGTGCACACGTCCATACAACTGCACTTTTTTTAAATTTTTTATTGGTTTCGCTTACATGGAGCATTCAGTCACCTACAACATTTCATTTTTTATTCTATATTTTTTTTTAAATTTATACAATATTATCAATTCACAAATTCTAATTCATTTTAACTCAGTATTTCAAATTCTGACTCAAGGCATTATTTACTTCTTTAATTACAATTATATATTATGATATTCATACTCGTTATTACAATTCATTATTTTATTATGAGCTATCTCCGCCTCTACAACTGTACTTGTTTATACTAAAAAGAACTATACATCTTTCAATAGTTGCATAAGTTTTGACTTTGCTCGAATTCAATAATCAAGTAATAATTTAAGATAAGTAAATATACTTATCATATTCATTGAACTTATACTGTATTGGTCTTCCTACTGCTACTTCTACCCTTACATTTAAGAAAAAGATCATCAATTATTTCATTCATAAATGTTTCCTTATTGTTTCAGATTTTATTGGGACCTGTGTATGTTACTATTATTAGTAGCTAATTTAATTATACTTCCGGTGGCAATCAGCTTTTTTAATGATGACCTGAGCACCAGATGGATCGCTTTCAACTGTCTATCGGATACAATATTCTTAATAGACATCGTTGTAAATTTCAGAACAGGTGAGCGCACAATATAAATATTATTATTTTAATTTGCATAAACTGTTTACGCTTCATAGTGAATTTTAAATTTTATCGGCTTATTTTCGGCAAAATTTGCTCTGTTATTTTCGTTGACCTTTTCTCAAAAACAGCTGCACCGATTTGTGAAATTTAGAAGCCATTTGGTGAAATTTTATCAAAATTTTCATTGATTAGTTTCTGCTCGGCAGCTTTTCTCTTTCTTCATAATTAAGAGTTTAGTGCAAAATTTTATGGCTAAAAAAAAGATTTTGAAAATTTGAAAACTGTTGTGTGAAAGATATCAGTTGGGATTCGTGCTGATTTAGTCTTTAGTAAAGATCGATCAGGCAATTTCTTCACAATTATGTTCATAATTTTAGTTTTTTAACGAACGATCTTAAATATTATAGAACTACAAAAAGGGGCTTAATTATAAAAAATCATTAACGTTTAGAATTCATTGATTTTGTTGAGGAAGTTGAACATCCGAGTTCTTACGAAGGTACATTTTTATATGCACATATCGAGAAGTTCATGCAACTTGTCTTAAAATAATATTTAGTTTATACCTAGTATATATATCTTATGTTTTGAGAGTGTAGCAGATATATTTACGCGAATAAATATCACAATTTATAATCTTATGTTATCGCAAGTTCAAGTTTTTTTTTCACAATTATAGACATTGTTGACGACAGATTTACTTGACAACGTTGTTAATGTTTTTCTACTTGGTCATTGACATAAATTATTGTCTTCAATTAAAAATAAATATTGTTCGAACTAGATTTTATAAAAATGTGATATTTAATCTGTTATCAAATAAGCTTTTTTACAAATTTATATAAACACAAGACTCTTACTTCACATTTACATAAAATACATGAGAGCAAGAGCAAATGAAGTCAATTGAGTACTTTTAATTCATGTCATGTTGCAATTTTGGATACACTGAATGTATGTCACCTACGTGATTTTTTTTCTAATTTAAACAAAGCATTAATAACTTCTCGTAATGTAAGTTATAAAACTCGTCCAAAAATCGAAAGTGACAATTTTTGTTTAGATATCTTTACGTTTCAGAGTTTTCTGAACATTTTGGCATACCTTAGAACCTTAAATGGATGTGTGTGTACGTATGAATGTATGGATACATCCATATTTTTCGTCCACGATTACGGCCACATGGATCAACCGATTAGAATGATTCAAAAAACATTAGATTTGTATTGACGGGGAAGTGTGCTGATCAGATTTTTACAAAGGCAGGTCTAGACGTTTCAGAGACATGGAACAAAACGGACAAAAATTTGTAGTTTTGGAGAGAACAAAGCTTTCGATATGACTAATTAAAATTTTCAGAAATTATTTTTTATAAATATTTCATCAAAATACGGGAAGTTCCAATAATTTTCCCTAAGGCATAATGCCATGCACAACGAGTTTCATCTTATTTTAAGCAAGTATTCAGTTAAAAGATAACGCCTTTACGAGAATACGCCAATTTGTTTTTATAATGATACCGCATTACATTATTTTTTACTAAATAAATTCCGTGTCATGTCTCCTAATAATTAATTTATTCTTTTTTTGTGGAATTTTATCTCTTTTACCGTCCTGATGTGTAAAACGTTGTTTTAGCTGTTTTGCGTGGAGGGCTTTTGCATAATTAATTTAAAAATTATACAACGGCAGATGACACGCGAACTAGATTGATATCTGATGATAAAAAGAAGGCATTTTTGCGAAGAGGTTACCACGCAAAGCGAAATACAGGTGTCATCATGATGAAAAATGGTGAAATATTTAACTTAATAATACTGAAATAGAAGGGAATGAAAATGTAGGTGACCTTTTCAAAAATGGGGTAGTTTAAATACAATGAATTCGTATAATGATTTGAAATAGTAGATCCTTTATTTGTTTAAACTGATTTTTATTATTTCTATGTTTATTATTATAATTAATAATAATAATAATATTTAATGTAGCTAAACAAAAATTGTGATTCCATCAGATTATCTTCATAACGTTAAGGAGAATTCTTTCAGTGGTCTTTTGGCTTGGTATTATATGGTCTTTTTTTGAATTTTTGACTCGATAACGCAGGGCTCTTTCGTCGCTTTTTTGACCATGGTCTTCGAATGACAGGGTACTGTTTTCACATAAATTTTGGACAGCCTAATGGCATGCAGCACAGCCATCGATTTTTGCTTAAAATTGTAGTTGACAATAACTTTCCAAGTGAAAATAACCTTTACCGCCATTGTCGTATCATTAAAACTTAGTAGTTACATCAAATAATAATTTAATCAAAGATTCAAGTTTCTGATGTCTCTTAGATAACATGTACGAGCAGTTAGGTTCTAATGGTAAAACGCTTGATCTTACAACAAATACATAGGTTTTTAACAGTTAGTTACGTAGTTACTATCAATTTTTACGAAGATTTGGTCAAAAATCTAAAACCACATTTGTTAGAAAATTTTCAAAATGCTGCATATGGGTATAAAGGGAAAAGGCAGGTAGGGAAAATTTAGCAGTAAAATAGCTGGCAACATGGGTTTACGCTTGAAAAGAGTTGTATTGGCAGCCTTCATATTAAACATACTCGATGCCCATGGCGCCTGGACTATAAGGAAAGAAAAAAATTCCAAATTTCTCCAAAAATTTGCTTTAAGATAAACCAGATGCCATGCACCACTAGTTCAATATTTAATTATTATTTAACTTTCTATCTTATTATTATATTTAATTTCTATTTCACGAAGAAGAGAACAACGCTACTGACGAGCAAAATGAGTCTTGACTTGCGAAAGAGACTAATAAGGTGCTACGAATGGAGCATAGCTTTGTACGGATCGGAGACATAGATTCTGGGAAATGCCGACAAGAACTGGTTGGAAAGTTTTGAAATGTGGTGCTGGAGGCGAATGGAGCAGATAAAGTGGACAGACAAAATAACAAATGAAGAAATCCTGAGAAGAGTGGGTTAAAAAAGAGCTCAACTCCTGAAAATAAAAGGAATGAAATCTGAATCGGACCTCTTCTGCAAAAAAAGTGCTTCCCACACGACGTCGTCGAGAGTAAAATAAATGGACTGAAAGGAATGGGAAGAAGAAGAATGTAAATGATTGACGACTTACGCGGGAAGAGAAAATACAGGGACCAAAGGGCAAGGAAATCATGTATTGCGGTTGCTCTCACACCATGGACCTGCCTGCGGCACACCATTTATTATTATTATTACTTTTCATCTATATTAAAGTGGAAAAAGTCACTAATTGTTGTCACACTGATAACACACATAATTTCATCTTTTTCGACAGTATTATCATTTACTGAGAGAGTGAAAGTTAAAATATTCGAAGAATGTCGCAATTTTTTAATAAATTTCAATAATTTTTTTATGTAGGTAATATTATAATTTAAGGTTTTTTTATGTTGTGTATGGAATGACATAGTAAATAACAAAATCATTTGGGAGATAGTGAAAATAATTGAACGATGATGCAGGCCGTTCCTTGCAGCTGTTTATGATGGATGGTTTTGTACAATTCATTGGTGTGCCTGAACCTTGTTTTACAACTTTGTAGAGCTTCCCATATATTGTTTTCATTACCAAGTCTCTTGAATCGTAATATTGCGATGACCAAGTACCCTGACGGTTTATCTCCACGGTTTCCGAAATATGAGAGAGCTATAACGAAAGATGCCAATTAGGTCGACATGCATTTTTGGGTACTTTTAATATAATGTCTTCTACTTGATTTTTCAAAATAAGATAGGGTGCGGTACAAAGGTCCAATTTGACTTTGAGCAATTATATTGTGAAAGCCAGTCCAATTATATCACAACAAATAACACATGTCGAACAAACAACTATATGACTATGTTCAGTAAAACTCTCAGCTAATCCATTATTGTAGAATCGTGTTCTTTTTCTGTTTTTCATAAAATTGTCACTTGATCATTTTTATCACGTAGGCGGGGCAAAATGGGGCAAGCAGGTGCCAAAGAAGTCCAATATCTTGCTTTTAATTTTTAATGTATTTTACAAAACAATGGCTACGTTAATCAACCAATACAATATATAAGTTTTATGAGTACATTTTTACATAGATAACACTGTATACAACCTTGATCTGGTATTTTGTCGGAAATATTTATCAGCCAAGTTTGTCGGAAATATTTATCAGCTCAGATGATCCTTTTTGCCTCATCCACGTGTAAGCTATAATAGAGGTTAAAAATACTGTTGAATCTAACTCAAAAATAACAATACATTTTATAAAACATTTAAATGACGTAGACTTAAACATTATAGTAACGTCTCGTACATTAAACAATAGTGTTCACATCCAAAAAAACTAACAACGAAAGAAAAGACTTTTGTTATGTATTTTCTAACATTGTCGTTTATTTCGCGATAGCGATGACGTAAAAATCAAGGTGATAACTGGTTATACATCCTTTTCCCTCTACTTTCAAATGTTGTCAAAAATTCGTAACTTTTCTTGTTTTTGAGATATCAGTGATAAGGCTTTTCACTCGCGGGCCATTAAGCTCCCTCGCACCCTACACAATATTTAACAGATTATTAAATCAAAACAAATTATTCATCTTACATCTTATAAGCAAGTAGTAACATGAGAAAAAAGCTTTTTAACAAATATCTCTACCTTAGTGCATCATTGTTTATGTTGTTGTGCCAATTGCAGATAGTGATGAAAACAGTCAAATACTTAAAATATTTTATATTAAATATAATGCTCGTTTATTTAAAAAAAGATACAGAATAGAAACTATATAATGAATTCATATTATATAACAAATTGACATTGATTAATGATTGATCATTGAGACTAATAATGAATTGAAACGAATGGGAGACTACCGATGGTATCTTCTTTCACATTTAACCACATGTTGGTTTCGGGTATTGAAGGTATAAAGAGTAAAACAATATATCATTTTTCTACAAATTTTGTATTTTG